TGGAAAAGAAAATGGAAACTTAGGGTTTAAGGCTTTAGGGTTCAAGGGTTGCTGGTGGTTCGAGGTTGAGGATATATGGGTCTGGGGTTTTTGGTTTATGGTTGAGGGATACGGCTAGTTCTCAAAAAACGTATCATCTGTATGTATACGCCCCAAGATGGCCATAAGGTCCTTCTTCGAAAACCTCATCATACAAATATGCTGATGCTTGTCTCTGCTGGTATCATGATTGATAGAGGTCGCGTTAAAAATTTAGCAACCAACAGGGGGCATACGCAATTTGAATTCGATAGAGCGCATGGAGTGGTCAAGAGTTTGGAACATTTTGCCGAAATACGGCATGGACCTGTCTTGTATTGAGTCTCATTTCTATGAAGGCTTTATGACAGGCCTTCATGGGTGTCCATCCAGAGCAGTGGCTACTTTGATTCTGCTCTCGAGCCCTAGACAGATTCGACTTCTGTGGCCCTGGGGTAGAGGCTGGTGTACTGTCTCTCCACAACAAGGCCAGGTGCCGGCGCATGGAGGTTCTCAAATTTTGCGGGAGACAGGGTCCGGTAAGCGAGGACCCCAAAATTGGAGCTTGGAAGGGGCAGTCAAACTTTTGCTACCCAGCCACATCGAGGGGCTGTCGCAAGGTCAGGGGGCCTGCTGCTGGATGCAGGGGGCACAATCACAGTATATTGACAACATCCCCCTCCCAAAGCACTTGTAAGCAGCACTTGTGTGTGCCAAGTAATTAAGAAGGTGGTACCTGTGGAGACCAATACAAGCTTTAGCTTCAGCAAGCCCAGCCAAGTTAGCGAGCAGTAACCTACAACAATCACACGAGACAACTGTGGTCTCTTGGAACAAGCATTCTGGCTTTGTTTAATCACGATGGGTTTGCGTGGCTTCCACGAAATTCTGGGCATCAGAGAGCTGCACCTAAGAAAGGTTCCCGTTTCAAAAATGGTCGACCCCCCATTTCACCCACAGATTAAAAAAATCCTGGCTCCCGAGCCCTCAGCGACTGCAAGGTGACGAGTATTGTGATGCCCAGCAGCTCCGTGAGGTCCATGAAGAGCTTCCTGGCTAAGCACTGAAAAAGGGATCCCAGCAATGGGGGCTGAAGGGCTTATGAAGGGTTGACCTAAACGAGGACAACCTCAGTAAACCGTTTTGCTTCAAGAGTCCGTGGTTTCATGAAAGGCCCACTTGAGGTGAAGGCCCGCCCGCTTCAACCCTTCCCGCCGCTATGACGGAAGAAGGCCTACTGCTCAGGCAGGGTGCGAGACGGTAAGGTTTTTTGTTCTCTTTGGCAGAAGAATCTCAAGTGTCCTCAGGACTTTCTTGGGTCTGCTGCAACAGGTTGGGAGACCATGCATACTTTTGGTCGTAAGGTGTTGCTTTGACATGTGGAGTGGAAATCAGTCTACCAACATCGCGAAAATCTACTTCTTCTCCTTGCACACATGTCTCCGGTCCCTGTGGTACCCTCATCCTGCGATCTATCTTGCAAACCCTAAGCCCTCCCAAGACTTTGTTCACTTTTGCCGAGGCTCCAAGATCCGCAGCGGGGTCCTTGCTGAGTATAACTTTGACATTCAAAGATTTATGAGTTCTAAGTGGGTTTGGTTTGGTTTTGGGTTAGGACTGTTACCGCCCAATGTATGAAAAAGAAGGGTTCTGCTGATGGTTCAGGAGTCTCCCCCAGCCTCCGCTCTTGGAGCTGATCGATGGTTGCGTGGCTGGCGCCGCAAGTACAATATACCATAATTCGTATAGTAGAATGAACTATATTATACTGCATAAGACTATATTATATTATACTGTATAAGATTGATTATACTGTATAAGACTATATTATACTGTATGATACAATGTGTGTTTTGGGATTGTTCCAAACTAGGATGCTTCTCGCAGGTTTTAACTTAAGATGCCCGGGGAAAGCTGGGATCCCGTTCGGGATTCAGAAGCCCGCTCAAGCACCAGACGGCAGCGCCGAATGGCCGCTTGCCTTGCTGGCTTCCAGCGTAAAAGTTCATGTTGTGCTTTGACTACTTGGCCTCCTGACTCCCAGTCGTAACTTATAGTACATTATATTCTATTGTACTGTATATTATATACCTCTTCTCAGTAGGTTTCCGCTGAATCTGCAGACCTAGCCCCACGTGCTGAAGCCCCTTGTATTGGCTGCAAACGGGAATTCTACAAGCCTCAAGTCACCACGCAAGCAAGCAAGCAAGCAAGCAAGCAAGCAAGCAAGCAAGCAAGGAGGATATCTTTCTATTACCATGGGCAACAAGCATGGGTTTAGGGTGTAGGGTTTAGGGCTAATATCTGCTGCATAGCTTAGGAGGGACCCCCCACCTTGTAATAGTGGTATAATAGGAATATAATAGGACCCTAAGATAATCCTTACTATTCCTTATACACCTTGTAATAGTGGTATAATAGGAATATAATAGGACCCTAAGATAATCCTTACTATTCCTTATAGTCACTATTACTGGGTGGGGGGTCCACCTACTGCATAGCCTGTTCTAAGGACCATTTCTTTGGGCAGCCGCGCCACCTTGCGGCGGCTGCGGACTTGGCCGTGAAGGTTGGCGTGGAGTCTACGCCCTTTACATGGAGGATTCCTGATGTGGGGTAATATTGGGGTTATATTGGGATAATGGATAATGGAAAAGAAAATGGAAACTACTGTAATATTACCGGGATTATATAGGGGATTATACTTTTTTTGAGATATCCCCTCCCCCTAATAAGACCCCCCGGCCTCCGCTCGTCGGGTTCATTATTGGGGAGGTGCAGTGTTTTACTACTAGGGGGAGGGATGGATTATGAGGCCTTTGGCCCGACCACAGTCTGAAGAGCAACGCGCAAACTGGGCCCGCAGGCCAAGGAATTGCGCCTGTGGACCCAGGATTGGCATACAGACTGCTGGTGTAAAATGTGAATCATTGAGGCGAATGATCAAGGCTCATTCAGACCTAATGTGTCCTGCTCGACATGGAGCTTTGATTCGAACTCCCCGGTAGCCAATGTTCATGGCTGAAGTTCATGTCCGAATATTTGGTGGACTGTGCACATAAGGCTCAAACAAGGAGATGGGAGGCAGAGGCGGAGGGAGGTCCTTTCCTGCTGCTGCTGCTACCGCCTGAGCAACTTTCTAATTAGCAACGCGCCTGCCCAGAAATGCAATGCTACAACTAACCAAATGACACTGGGATGTCTGTAATCAAATTGGCCCACTCATTACCAAACAGCCCGAAGCACACAACACTAAAGGTCCCCAAACTGCTCTGATTCCTGTTACTTCCAGCCTCGTTCAAAGTCTCTGGGCCAAAGAGGTGGTGACTCGCTGTGCTGCGGGTAGGCTGCAAGCGCCGCTGTGACGACCACGGCCTGGGCAAAAAATGGGCGTACATGGACTTTTGGAAATGCCTAATGGCGAAATCGTTCTGATGTTGGGTGCTTCCGGCTTCAGATGATTTTAGTTCGGGTAGCCATTGGGTCGAGGAATGGCGCTCTTTCCTTGACTCGTGATGCTCACCTTCATGGATTTGGCAAGTCGACGTTCATGTTGAGAACGTTCCGTGTAGCAGGTCTGTTTAACGAAGGCTCCAGCAATCATAGCCCCGAACTCAAAAGCTGTGGTCTCAGGCACCCTAACCAAAAACCTAAACCCAACACCCAGCAAAAATCACTTCAAGCCCACCCAGGCTTGCCCAAGAGACCTTCCCTGCACGGAGATGCCTGTGGAAGCGGGAGGACAGCTTTCGGGGCCTCGTGAGCGTAGAGGTTCACCGTAAGAACCAAGACCGCACCAACAATAATGAAGTTTTCAAGTATATTTGAAGTGAAAGTCCTTTGAGGAGTGCGGGGGCCTTAGGTTCAAGATTGCGAAAGGGCTTCACGCGAGCATCAAGATCGCAGTGCTTTGTCAAAACTAGTGGAACTCTGCATCTACTGCATGCATGTGTTATTCTGCGACGTTTGCGTGCCGCAGCGAGGCACGCATGCTGCAGGGTTGCAAGCAAAGGCATCAGGCTTCTTCAGGCTAATGTGACGGCCTTGCGAGTTGGGAGGAGGTTGTGCGGTTTAGAACTTGGAAGTCTGACATCATCAGAGCTCAGGGCGTATGCTTGCCAGTCGTTCCACCCAATCTGCCGCAACTGAAGGAGAGATCAAGAAGATTGTCTGCGCAGGCAGACCCCAATCGGTTGCTGGCTGTGGGATTGGGATAGGGGCTCTCCTGAGACCTGAGACATTCCCAAGTGTCTAGACCTGCGGCAATCCTGCACCTCACCTGCCTTGATGCCTGCTTTTAAGATCTTTTAAGGCCGTGCATGAGTGAGGTGAAACCAAAATGTGATCGTAGTATGCTGCAAGACTCAAGGTCCACGGAGGTGGGCAGAGGTGGGAAATGTGGGGACTTCCTTATTCGCACTGCTCTTGCTCTAAGGCACCTTTCAGCGAAGAAGGCATCTGAAATGAGCTCACCAAACTTGGGCACCGATTGAGCTTCAAGCTGAACCGGCTTAAAGTCTTCATGGAACTCTGCACTTTTAATCCTAGGAAACTGAGATTAAGTGGGAGGTGACCCCAACAGTTGGACCGCCTCAACCCTGCAAACCCAAAGCCAGAATCCCCAAAACGAGGCGGCATTTCTCGAGATTTCTCGAAGTTATTGCGTGCCTGCCAAACTAGAAAGGTTCGTATTGTCCCCGCATGCAAAACCTGTTTAGTGACACTTTGAGCTCACACAAATGCTGGTCCTGACTGCCACTGAGGCCCGCTCATGGCATCATGATGTCCTCCATCATCACGCTTAAATATAAACGCCGAGAGATCACCACTACAGTATTAGTCACGCCTGCAAGCCCTATAACGCAGTTATTCGACTACAGAAGAGACTAGACCGTATCAGATCCTATCACAGCCCTCCATCTCAACTCTAATGCATCGAGTAGGTGCATACGGATCTCAAGTTAGGAGCCGATACTGCTGGGCCACGTTCCCAACCTTGGCTGGGTTGCTGTTAATGAACTCAAAGCAAGTTCCTGTAGGAAACCCTATTGATTACCATATACCCATAGTATGGTAACTAAGATTTAGGCCCTAAACCATGAACCCAAACCCTGAACCCTTCAAGGCGTCACAGCTGCTCTACGTCGCAGCTTTGAGGGTGAGGGCTTGTCTCAGGCGCCTCTACTTACGAGTGTTTAGTAGGGAAGAAGGAATATGATCCACATGTGTGTATATATATATATTCCCTATGTAATATATTCCTTTAGACAAGAGGGGTTCTAAAATAAATCCGTACATACAGGTTTAGGGCTCGTCTTCGGTAGATGGTTTCCGGAGTAGCCATGCTTGAAGGGTAACGGCTTCAAAGGTTTAAAGAGGGGGGAGCACAGGGTAGATGTTAATGTGATTTTTTGCAAAAAAAAAATATGCGTGGAGTTTGGGACTAAAGGCCCAATCTTGGGTCTCCCATATACCTACCTACATGTATGCACATGTATATGTCTCTCTCCGCCAAATATTAGAACTTCACACTTCGGACTAGAGTTTTTTTTGGTTGTATACACAACAGGGCGGCTAGACGTTTAACTTCAAAAAAGGGTCCGCGGGATTCGTCAGTTTGTCTCTCATAGTTTCAAGTGGCTCCGACAAAGACTCAGAATGGCAGCGAACTTGGAGACTGGCCGTGTTAGTTAGCTGCTAGCTACATAGTCGAACAGCATCAGAGCAGCCCCCCGAACAATCCCAACAGGGATAGCATCAGTAGCTTCATCTGCTTGGTATGTTTGCTATGGTACTGGCACTGATCGTGTCATCCCGTATATTCGCAATCACATTACTCTCATGCAAACGAGGCCATGGGCGTCCCCCGCCATGAAACTCCGTGGTACTTACCGGGGACCAGGGGAACAAATGGCCTCAAGGGGCATGTAGAAAATTCGCAACCATGAACAGACTGAGACCTCATGACAAAGTCCGGAGTCCAAATATAAGGTTCTGGTGCAGAGTCCAAACAAACATACCAGGCTCAGGCGCTCTTTTGGGAGCCCATGATCTTTTAGTATGGGGCACCCGCAATAGAAACCCTGAAGCCCTTTCTATGCATGCTATTACAAGCTAAGTGGAAGGTAAACACAATGTGTTACTGTGCGCCAACTCGAGGCGGCGCCTCGAAAACGGCTCGAAACAATCTCCACCTTTGAGTCTTGCCGGGCACTTGGCACAAGATTCCAGCGTGGAGGGCAGCATTCCCAGGTTTCTAAGACACCTTTAAATATGATATAGCGAGCAGCGCACGCTTGGCGAAGGACCCACGCATTTAGGAAAGGGCTGTCATGTTGACCGGCCTATCTTTGACCGAGCTGGAGTTTCTCCCGTGATCAAGGCACCTCTCCCTCACCCACCCTTTACCTAATGGCCATGCTTTAGGACCAATGTGCCTGAATTTTGATAACAGAAGCCTGGCGGCTTCGCAAATGTAACGATGCTGCTCCCAAGATGATCAGGTTCCCACGCCTTCAGATCCACTGAACCTAACCTGCTCTGATTTGTTTCTCTTTGCGTAGCTCCATAGCTCAAGCCCTGGATGGAAGTAGCATAGAGGTGATGATGTGCCTTCCCTGCGGCTTTTTCACCCCTATTCATTTGGATTTGGGCTTGCAAGGTTTTGCCTATGGGCATGCGTTTGGTGGACTCGGAGCTAGGGGCCTCCTCTTTGTGCATGATGATGACTTCTGCTGTATTGTCACAAATACCCATGAGACTTAACAATCGGAAAAGCTATGGACGACATCTGTTACTTGCTGGCAGTTTTTGCGAGGGGCCTGAAGAGCTCCCACCCGATCTCCAGTAATGTCAGAATTCCGGAAGTCATGCGAATATGTATTACATCAGAAATGGCCGCGGCGACATCCAGCTCAGAAGGAAACTATTCGTGCGATGCAGTAACTTCGGCTTCTCAAAACCAAACAGCTTAGCTGCACAGGTTTCTGACTGCTAAGAAATTCCAGTTAGCCAGAAACCTGGCCTGCATTTCTGAAAGCCTCGTTTCCTGCTGGTCTCCCATCATATGCTGCCACCTCTCACTGTTCCGGTTCCCTTGCATCATCTTTTCCCTTGTGAATGAAACAAATATCCTAGCAAAAGTAGCGCTTTTCTCTTTCCGTTCATCATGGGCAATGGAAGCTGCTAGGTTTTGAAAACCTTGTTGTTTCAACTCAAAGGCCTGCATCTAGGTTTCTGACTGAAGAAAAAGCCTGATGCCTACCAAGATGAAAACGCAAACGCTTTGCTAAATTCCGTAGGAGCCATCTACAACAGAGCTTGTAGCGCATTTATACCTTTCAGAAGCCGTGTATGGACCATTGCATAGCTTGGCGAATACACAACTTCAAAGCCTTGCCCCAGTCTTGATTTTGAACCTTCAGCGCAAAGCGCGTCACCGTTTGGGGGGGGGGGGGCTGATCTAAAACTCTTAGATATTTTGCGGCAAACTATTTAGAGTTCCTGTGGGTCCATAGCTGAAATGCAGAGGAATTTATTTTCCATACTGGCCATTTTGGCAACATGAGTTTTGATCAACTGCCATCTGCCCTTATTGAATCTTGGCAGCCAACCCTTAGGCTTGAGGTTTTGATACATCATGCTAGGTAGATTCAGGTAGACATGCTTAATGTTGCACTCTGTTTCGTGTATGCCCCCCCTCCCGGTAGCAATAGGGCCCACAGAGAATTAGACAATAGGCGGCCGTAGTCCTTAAATATCCTTGGCCAAGCCCTAACCTTCTGCGTGCCTAGCTGCCCAACTGGCAGTGGAACCCTGACGTAATGCATAGCTCCTGTGGAGTAATATGCACATACACATGTACATGTATGTATCTCTTTGTAAACACTATCATTTGTTTTATCAAGATTCCAGCATGCGCCATAACAAGCCTTCAGCCTTAACCAGGTACGGGAACAGCATACCAGGCGACTGCCAGCAGGGAGTTGAGCGCAAGATTTGGAGTTTGCTTACATATGAGGCATGTTTTGGGATTTGTTGGTCATATGCGGGCACGCAGGGAGTGTTGAGGGAGGGTTCTCTGAATAAGGGTGTTGCTCTAGCTTTACGTGCTGAGATGCGACTAGGAACGGCGCAGCTTCAGTTGTAGATTGCTTGCTTGTAGTCGGGCCTACAACTGGTTGATTCGCAAGATTCGCAATGCTTGCTTTATTCTGCGTTTCAGGTAATTAAGAGGTAATGCGCGCTTGGCTGCAGCCAGTGATGGCATTTGTTGGTAGTTATACTTGCGTCTGTGAGCAGGGTTAATCATGTTCTTGATGGTCTTTGCCTTTTTGTGCCATGGTCCTGACATGCGGGGTTCGAG